AAATTACAACAAAAAATATGTTTCCATTATTTTCGCCTTTACATTGTATATTTTTCTATTGTTTTTTGTTTTTTTTTTTTTTGTTTTTAATTTTGAAAGGGTACTGTGGGTCAATGTTAACACATATTCCTAAACAAATTTAATATAGTTACGTGAACGCTTTAATTTAAATATGAAGTTTAGCTGAGCAAAACGTTTCAGTTTGCAAATTTACGACTGAAGCTTAAACAAATTTAAATTCGAGATTTTGCAAAAGTATGCGCTCATTAAAAGCATGATATGCCATATGTGGCACAATTGTTTAATTTTTTTGATGTACTAAACTTTTTGACCTCTACCAACGCCGCCCTTTCGAAAGCATAAAACCCATAGCCTTCAATGTCCACTTAAAGCGAAGCCTTAGCAAATTCTCAAGCACCAGGGCTTGAATGCATGAGTTGACCTGCGTATGTGTGTGTGTGTGTTGCTATGTGACTTAAGCGCCATGGACCCATACTCATAATTGCCCAGGCGCCACACGATTTTCTCATTTGCATTTTTGGTCTAACGAACAACTGTTTTTGATATGTTTTCCGACAAGATTTTTCGCTGGCGACTTCTCTTTTTGTTTTTGTTAAATGCAAATGCGGTGCACTGCATAAGGTCTCGGTGTATGTATGTTTGTGTGGCATATTTTAAAGTATATTAATTTGTTGTTTTTTSTGCAAAAAAAAGTGGAAAAAGTTGACTGTGGAAAAATGCGATTGCAAAAATGTTTCATTTATGTATGTATGTATGTGCATATGTAAAGCAAGCTAAATATGAAAGCCCAGAAAAGCAGTTTTTGTTGTWATGTACACATGTTTGTGTGTGTTTGCACACATTTGTAACCATAAAATGCAAATGCTAAGTGCTGGCATTTTTTTCATTGCGTGCGAATGCTGGCGTGTGAGACGCTGGCGACTATGCCGGCATATATGTATGTTTGTATATATGTACATATATTATGTGTAGCTATATGTGTTTATTTATATATCTACATATGTATGTACATACTCCTATGTATGTTGGGGAAACCGCAAACCTGGTCATTAATGTCACCGCGCAGCCACTGCTGCCGCCATCAATAACAACAATTACAAAAAATCACAACAACAAGTACACACACATATGTATGTATGTATATTGTACGTAGCAATGTTCGTCTAGCATGGCAAAGCATATAAAATATGCATTTATTTCTATAATAGCAAAACTAGTTTATTGGTTTCATTGCATTTTTCCCAAGTTGCCGCGGCATTGATGTTTTTGCTTCAAAATTTTTTATCTTTGTATACCCTGAACGGTGTATATTAACCAGTAACCCGGGGATATTATAAAGTATATACATAAAGTATCAGTATGACGAGCTGGGTCGATTTATCCGTATCCCTCTGCCTGTGCGTATATACGTGAGCTAGTTTTTAAGTTTCAGAGATATCGGTCTGAAATTTCAAACACGTAATTTTCGCTCGTAGAAACTGCAAATTTGTCAAAATCGCCGACATTGGATCACTATAACATATAGTTGCCGTACAAACTGATCGATCGGGGTTAAGAGCTTGTATGAAAAACTTTTTTTTGACAAGATATCTTCCGAAATTCTAGTGGAACTATTTTACAAGACAACTCTACAATCTCGGAAGAAATCGTTCAGATTGAACTATTATAGCATACAGCCGCCATACAACCTAAGCGATCGGAATCGAGTGTTTGTATAGAGAACTCTTTTATTTGACGAAATATTTTCAAAGCTAGGGTAAAATTTCCGTAAAATAGTTCAAATCGGACCTCTATAGCGTATAGCTGCCATACAAACTGAACGACCGGAATCAAGTGCTTGTATGAAAAATTTTTTTATTTGACGAGATATTTTCACGAAATTTAACGCAGACTAATGCCCGAAGAGGCACCATAATTTCAAAAAAAAAAAAAAATAGTGCGGATCGAACCACTATATCATATAGCTGCTATACAAACTGGCCGCTAAAAATCTAGAAAGAGTTCTTTTTTTGAACGCTGTAAAGGGTATTATAGCCTCGGTGCAACTGCAGTTAACGGATTTTATTGTTTCTATATTTTATATATATTTTTCCCCCGTGCACCTAATACCACATACACACACATTTAATTTGGTTTCTCTTTTTGTACKCGGCTTCCAATTTCAATTCCGATTCCATTTTCGATTTGTCGTTTGGGTCAATGTTATGCAAGCGATTTGCATTTGTTTCACTTTTTCTATTTTATTTTTAYTTTTTTACTATTTCTACTTTTTTCTATTTATTTATTTTTTTTCTACTATTTCTATTTCTATTTTTGTACTAGTAATCAGTGCTGCTTTAGCGTCTACTCTTTTGGCAGCCAACTTCACGCTGTGCGTCTAAAGTTGTTTATATTGCCTTATTTCACTTTTTAATCATAATTTTTATTGTAATACAACGTCTATTCAGCAATAATTAAAAACAACAGCAACAACAAATGTTGTATTAATTCATCAAAACCGCATTTTTATGCTTTCTTTGCCGGCGAGTGCCGAAAAACGCTCATCGCTTAGCTTATAAATAKTTGAGACTTTAGCATTAGCATAAGTTTCTTGTTGTTTTAGTTGTAAGAAGGTGACGTAAAAGCAAAATTGATAAAAAGTTATTTAATATTTATTTTATTAAGCATTTAATTTGGTTTTGTTTTCTTTGCATTCCAGCGTGTTGGCGGCTTTAAATGTCGGAACTAATGAGGCGCGAC